TGATATATGTATTTAACAAGTAGCTTGCCAGGGAGGAAACTTGCATAATGTGTAGCATTGACTGATTTCTGGAGTGCATGTATTGCCACCATGGCCAATGACATGGCCATCACCAAGGTGATGCCAGTGCATGAATAGCAGAGAGAAGATGTGCACAATCAGGGGTACATGCTGGAATGAACAAGCTCCACCACACTGCTACCTGAAACCTTGTCACTGCCTGATCCTAAAGAGTGTAGCTCTCGCCACAGCAGGTGTTCAGATCTTCCATGCTTCTAACCAAATTCCTTTGTATTAGCCATGCAATTATTAGCCATGTTTTTCTGCATAACAAATTATCCCTGAACCTCTGTGACCCAAAACAACACAAGTTTATGTCTCATTCATGGTGGATATTCAGCATGGGTTTATGCGGTAAGGGTACTCTGCTTACCAAAGTTATCCAGCGTCCTAGATGATGGGACTTCACCATCTGGAAGGAACTGATGGCAGTGCAGGAGAGTCTGGAGATTTGCACATGGCCTTTTCAACATCCCAGCTCACGTTTCATTGGTCAAAACTAGTCTCATGGCTCCACCCTAAGTGCAAGGGATTTGGCAACTGTGAAAGCACAGATGGCATGTCTGGGTCTGGTGAGTACCACTGTCTCCATTACATCCATGATGATTTCAGCAGGCACCGGGTTCTCTCGACAGTTCAGGACATAACACATTCAGAGGATTCAGCAGGTTATAGGGGACATAAGTGGCCTGCCTCAATGCCTCGCAAAAAATCAGAAGTTCAGCAACAAGCTTCAAAAGATAATTTTTAATTCTTAATAAATATGAATGTGCTAACCCGGTTCTTTGACAAGAAAGGAAACTTATAGTTAATAAAAATCTCAGGTCATCTTTGTTCTGGTCCTCTTTGCCACACTCGCAAGATGCTGCAAGTTGCTATGAATTTTCTTGTGGAAATAATCAACCAGCAATTTGAGGTTTCTCTGCCTGAGTCAAAGCCTGGGGTCCCTTTCCAGGAGGACAGAGTGTTCCAGGGGATAGGCAGCTCCTCAAAGCCCAAGACTTTGAGACAGAGAAAGCCCAAGACTGGAGAGATTGTGGGCTCTCGGGGACTTCTGTCTAAAACCACAGCATTTCATTTCAACTCAGCAGATGTGGTTTCTGTACCCAGTGAGGGCCAGGTGTGAAGGCTTCCTCCAGGACCTCTATTTTTTATTTTATTTTATTTTTTTTTTTATTTTTCTGACAGGCAGAGTGGACAGTGAGAGAGAGAGACAGAGAGAGAAAGGTCTTCCTTTGCCGTTGGTTCACCCTCCAATGGCCGCCGCTGCAGCCGGCGCACCGCGCTGATCCGATGGCAGGAGCCAGGATCCAGGTGCTTTTCCTGGTCTCCCATGGGGTGCAGGGCCCAAGCACCTGGGCCATCCTCCACTGCACTCCCTGGCCATAGCAGAGAGCTGGCCTGGAAGAGGGGCAACCGGGACAGAATCCGGCGCCCCAACCGGGACTAGAACCCGGTGTGCCGGCGCCGCAAGGTGGAGGATTAGCCTATTGAGCCGCGGCGCCGGCAGGACCTCTACAGATGTGAGAGCATCGGGTTGTTCAAACAGTCCCACTCCTTCCTCTAACTGTAAGGCTGATTAACTACAGCATTTTTTAAACCACCTCTGTTCTGAAAACAAAGAGTTCTGAATCCAGGGTCAGGAAAAGATAGCAAAAGATAGGTATAAATCCTAACTTGGTCCTTAATTAATTATGGGCTCAGGGACAAATCTAGCATCTCCATTTTCTCGCCTACAAATTGGAGGAGTTGAACACCAACTATGGTTTTCACACATTCTTTGTATAGTCTTCAGAAACTGATTCTTATAAGGGAAGAGAAGCTGGTGGGCAGGGCTCCAGGACACCATCCTGACTTCCAACTAAGGCATGTATTGGGTTCTAGAGAACATTTTTGCTGTTATTTATCAGATTATATCACTGTTTCACAAAAGCTGTTTTTAAGGAAAAGTTTCTAATTCTTAAAAAAGTGAAAGTCACTGGACTAATCCAACAGCATAAGACAGCTGTAAGCTATAATGTGGACTGATAACATGGCCATCCATCCCAGGAGGTAAGGTGGCCCATGCTTGTGGCTCTCCTAGGGCTCGTCGCTCCCTCAGGAAGATGGTCAGCCAGGCTCCCAGTTCTTCCACCCTGTCCAGGCATCTATATCTTCATGCCCTGAGCCAAGCCTTGCCATCACAAAGCAGGTCAGACCAAGTAAACAACATGCAGAGTAATGGGTAGTAGGACTTCCCTAAAATTAAAGCAAAAGACCACAGTGTGCATGGAGAGCATGTGGTTTGGAATATTTCCATAGAATATTAAATCATACAAGAATTTTCACTCATCTTCATCGTGGAGGTCACAACATGACTTTTCTCTAATGAATTCTTTATATTGGCAGCTCTTCTGTTTTTCTCCCTTCCTCCCCTGATTCCTCACTTCCACCTCTATTCCCTGCCCCCCTTGCTAGAAACAGCTCTCTCTGCTTTAGTCTCTGTGTGGGAACATGTGGTAATACTTTTCCCTGATTTAGGCCTTGAATTTGGTCTACACCTGTGTGGACCTTCAAGTAACGACTCAGCAGGCGTTGTGGCGAGGTCGTGCTGCAGAAGTGCTCTGTGCACACGCTTCCTCTCACTCCCTTGCAGGCACGCCAGTGCCTCTCCTTCCCCTTTCCCCAGGCATGCGAGGGACCTCCAGATGTGGCTCCTGAGATGCTGGTTTCCTACTCAAGCTTCAGTGATGTATTCTTCAGAGTGTGATATTCCACCCGAGGGTATGCTTCTTCATGCAGCAGAGGACTGACCTACAAAAGCCTGCAGCCTCCAAAGGGAAACAAAGAAAGAGAGAAGGAAAGATTGAGAGAAAAAGGAAACATGGAGGAAAGATATAATCTGCACTAGTGACTTTATGGCTAACACTATCTTGGCTTAATCTGGAGGGGTTGACATGGTTTGCTTCTTATAAGTGAAAACACCCAAGGCTCAGAGAAGCCCAGTAAGGTGCCCAGGGTCACAGAGCCAAGAAGTGGAAGAACCAACATTTAATGACAGATTTTCTTATTTCAAGTCCAACTTTCTTTCTGATTTCCCAAGAAGTAGTTCCTTGTTTTTAGAGCCATCCACCATAAATCATAACTTTAAACCCTGGTACCAGGCCAGATGCCCCAGAGACATTATTTCATTTTTATCATGGCCCAGCAAGGCAAGTTGTAGTACAATCAGCTCAGAGATTTTCTAGAAATGAAGATCATAGAGGTTCCTTGCCCAAGATCACATAGCCAATGACAGAAATGATCATGAAGATTTCTTTTCCAAAATCAGTTACTATCCTTGACTGCAAGGAATAAAAAAATCTCCCTATAGATTTCCATGCTTTCAAAAATAAAAAATAAAATACTCATTTTAGCATACCAGGCCCATCAACATGATCTGGTCCCTGCCTTCCACTCTTTGTACTCCATCATTTATGCTAATCTCTCCCACCACATGAAGCTCCTTGCAGTTCCTCCAAATAGTGTCTCAACCCTATGTGCATAGTGCATGCTGCCTGCTCTTTCCATTTTCATCTACCTCCAGCTGCTACAATACTCAGCTTCTGGCCCCTTTCTTAGAAAGCCATGTCCCATTCCATGTGCTTCACCAGTAAGCATCTCATCATAAAATCAGATTATTTACCAGTCCTTTTGTTCTTGCAGCACTGTATGAATATTTATCCCAAAGCACTGATTGCTTATTAAGTAACCTAGCACTCCCATTAGACCCTATGGTCCTGGAAGGTATACAACACATTTTTTGTAATTCTGTATTCTGAAGCTTACTGTAATATTGAAAACAAAGTAAAGCCCAAGCAGGTTTTTGAATGACTAAAAGAATAAAATAAAAGAAAGGGGAAAACACAGAAGCAGAAGGAAAAGTAGAAAGGGAGGGGAAGGTGGAAGGAGAAGGAGGAGGAGAAGGAGATGGAGATGCAGTTGGAGAAGGAAGGGAAGGGAAGGGAAGGGAAGGGAAGGAAAGGGAAGGGAAGGGAAGGGAAGGGAAGGGAAGGGAAGGGAAGGGAAGGGAAGGGAAGGGAAGGGAAGGGAAGGGAAGGGAAGGGAAATGAGAAGCATATTAAGGGCACATGTCATGGACTTGGCTCAGGTCTGTCTGATTTCAAACCAGGCAGGACTTCTACCCTCCCATACTCAACCCAAGGTATTCCCCACTGTATCAAATTTATGACTCCACTGCCATTCTCCCCTCAGGTACACAGATCCTCATTCTCTGCTACGGTTCTCAGGGCAGCCCATCCGGCTTTGCTCATATCACCAGGTAGCTTCCTTTTTGGATTTTCCAGAACACCACAAGAATTCCCTTTTAATCTGCCTATTTGAATCCTTATAAGTCAACAGAGGTTGTCCAACAAAAACAAAAATAAAATAGAATCTAGTGTTACTAAAGAACAAATAAGTTCCTCTCCAAATAAGTAATGTAGGTTTGAACAGGATTTTGGAATCCAGAAAAATGACTTAATAGATGTTTTTGCATTTCAGATTAATTTATTTGTGGGATATCTTTGAACATAATCTTTGGAATCATTTTTTTGCAAAAGGAGAAAGATCAGTGTGCTTATTTGGTATTTTAATAACAAATTACCTTTTCAAATGATACTCACTATATGCTTTCATGTTATAAAAGTATTATATATTTACTGTACAAGGTTTACAGCTATAAATGTGCACAGTGAAGAAAATCTAGATAACCCACATCTTATCATTCTAAGATAATTACTCTTACTTTAGTTTTATTGCTTTTTATGCATATATAATTATGATAAAAATAGTTAATAACTAATCCATTAATACTATAAGTTAGCACTATTTTAACACTTTATATAAAATTACTTCAATCCTCAGAACAATCATATGAGACCACACAAATTTTTTTTAAGATTTATTTATTTATTTGAAAGAATAAGTGACAGGGAGAGGGAGACACAGAGAGAGAGAGAGATTTCCATCTGCTGGTTCACTCCCTAATGGCCACAAAGGCCAGGGCTGGGCCAGGCCAAAGCCAGGAGTCTGGAACTTCATCTGGATCTCTCATGTAGGTTGCAGGGGCCCAGGCACTAGGGCCATTCCAGCTGCTTTCCCAGGAGCATTAGCAGGAACCTGAATCGGAGGTTTTGAACTCATGTTCACATGGGTTGTTAGTGTTGCAGGGAGGAGTTAACCAACTGCGCCACAACAGCCACCCAGAGGCCACACAATTATTATCTCCATTTGACACATAAGAAAACTTAGACAGGGAGGTTGATTTGCCCAAGATTTCACGCATATTAAATGGTAGAGCTAGGATTTGCACAGAAGCAGCCTAGCCTCTGAGAATGTGCTTCTAGCTCGTGAAACATACTACTTCATGTCCGCATGAACTTGACATCAGACTGTACAAACTTGTTAGTAACTTCCCCTTTTGTAGTTAATATACTTTGAATAGTTTTCATATAACTTAATATTACTCCGAAGCATGTAAATGGGTACATAATATTTCATCATATTGACGTAGTTATCAATCAATTTCCAATTGTTAGAATCTTAGGTTATTTTTTACTCTACATAAATACACTGTGATGGACAAGAGTGTAACTAATTTTTTATTTACAATTTAGAATTAAGATCACTAAGCCAAAAGGCAAAAAATTTACACATACCTACCTTTCACACACTTCAATGTGGCTCAAAAATAAGTGAAATGAAGAAGAAAATGAAAGGCCTCAATAGTTGGTCACTGGAGATTGTGAGTAGGACAGCTTGCCCTCAAGGACTTCTCTGCCCAGGTCTTCCCTATTCTTGGAGCTGGACATTATAAATGGAGAAAAAACAATCCTGAGCCAGGCATGTGCTGTTGCCAAAGATTTTCCAGATACTTCTTGAACCAACGCTACCACCTGCTGCTCGGAAACATGCCTCCCTCAGCCTTTCTCCTCTGTCAACACTATGCCAGAAAGAGTTATCATTTGCAGTTCAGCAGTTGGTGTCACCAACAGAGGGGCTCTTCCCACTTGGAATTCCTCCACTGGAATGACGGCAGGGAAGGAGAGGTGTAGAAATTTCCTGGAGGAGAGCTGTGAGGGGGAGCCCTGCCCAATAACCATTAACCTACGGAGCAAACCCATAGAGGACAATGAAGAGCAGATATTCAGGGCAGACTTTTAAACAGGTACTCCTTAGAAGGGGTGAACCTCACGAAGGACAGGGAGACCTGAAAACAACTTGTGTAAAAAAAATATATAGGATAAACACAATGTCTTCAATGTTTAAGATGGTGAGGATAGCTGGAGAACTCTTTGTAATCTAATTAAAGAAGAGATTTAGAAAACAATATATTACTAAGGATCTTTATAAAACACAGAAAATGCAGATGAAGTGGCTGATACCCTGTGAGTTTTCTGTCAAATCGTTTTGTCATAAATTTCAGAAACTCCTCATCTGGATACCACACGTGGAATGAGTCATTCTCTGACACATTCACTCAAGCATGTTTTATTGAGCCTCTAAAACTAACTAATATTTACCCAGCACTTTATAAAACTCTGTTCATATACATTATCACATCTTATCCTCCCAACAACCCTGTGGGGAAATTATTATTAATTAATTATTATTTATGAGTTAACTGGGGCTAACAAAAGTTAAGTAGCTTACCCAAGGTCACACATCTTGAGTGGGGATTCTTTAAAAGATTTTGTTTATTTATTTGAAAAGCAGAGCAACAAAGAGAGAGAGATGGGGAAAGACAGAGTAAGGATATGAGAATCTTTCATCAACTGGTTCAATCTCCCAAATGCCCATAACAGCTGGGGCTGGGCCAGGCTGAAGCCAGGAGCTTCGAACTCCATGGTGATATGGGACACCAGTGCTGCAAGTGGGTTCACTGTGCCACAATGCCAGACCCCTTGAGTGGGAATTTGAACATGGCTGTCTTGACTCCAAATCTTCCAACACATACTATGTGTGAGACCCTGCCAAGTAGGACAGACCCCAAAGGCCAGAGTCTTCAGAGAGACCCCAGGAGAGTCCATTGTGAGAGGAGACTGCTTTTGCTGTACTTGGGACCAAGGCATCCTGCAACCAACGACCTGGATAGTAAGCCCAGAATACTCACGTGTGTGTAACTCTGACCTAGGCATGGCGGAAACAAAGAGAAAGAGAATACGACACATACAGGATCCTTTCTTTAAGCATGCACCAAATTAAGTCACTGAATCACTTACAGAATAATGGAGTTATTAATAATGAATTCACTTAAAGGAGGCAATGTTTGATCTAAGAAACCCAGGAGAAGGGTTCATTTCAGTGGTGAATGAACACAAGCAAAAGGCATGCAAATGACTCGCTGCAATGTTGCAGAGGGGATGTGGCAGAGACTGGAAAGAGCTGTTCAGGCAAGTTTAACTGCAATATAGTGCATGTGCTCAAGAGAAGAAAAGGGGGCAGAGAGTGTTAGGATGAGACCAGATAATAGACAAGGCCTGGAAAGTGACAAAATCTGTCCTTTCACAAAAGATTTTCTGAGAACCCTCAGTGAGCTAAGCCATAGGTATAAAATACTATGAATAAAGCAGAGTCTCTTCTCCCAGGAGCTCCCTGCCTAGAGAAACTAGATTCCATGCAGTAGGCAATAGGGAGCTATTACAGATTCTTGAGTAGGGAAATGACAAATGGAAGTTTATCTCCAGATAGATATCATTGCATATCTAGAAGACAGAGCAGAAACAGGTAAGTAATGGCGATGTTACAGACTCACAAGTAGTGGCAAGGTGCTTGTTGGGATAGTCCATATGGAAAGCTGTGGGTAATGTTTTCAAAAAGAAATATATATCAAAGAGTTCTGGCATTAGTGACAGGAACTAGCTTTTAAGGAAGAGCTCCGTGTATAGGAGATAAAAGGTGGCAGAGTAAGAAGCAGGGAAGCTGAAGGGAGATGGAAGGATCCCAATATGAGAGGAACATTTTGTTACCTGGGTTCTGGATAACTGAGAACCCAAGCATGGGGAAAAGAAGATGGAACACAAATGCTAGGATCTGGGTCTCAGGGCCAAGGGGTGAGGCAAAAGCTTGATGACTGGGCATTGGCAGCACTCAGTGCTGTGCCAGGAGCATGGTAGTCCATTAGCTCGTGCGGACTGAGCCTCTGGAGAGTGCTCAGGACAACTTAGTGGAAAGCCCAAGGGGATCCTAGACCCAGGAATCAAACACATCATGATATACATGCCTGAAATTTATAAAAAGGAAACTGTAATCTGGCTTAACGCTGGCTACACAACTTCATATCTTTCATGTCTTTAATGCATTCTTGCTTCCAATCACACTGGTCTGGTCATTCCCACGTCAACTGGCCATCACCCCCCCCCCCCGACCCCCACACACATACACTATCGCTGTAGCCATTTCCTCTTTGAGGTTTTTTTCTTTGCCTACTCTTTCACCTGTAGTTCTCTCTCTTGATTCAAGGACTTTCCAGCCTTTTTTCCCCTCAAACTGCCAGGGTTTGAGAGTTCTTTTCTCTGAGTCAGGGGACAGTTTTGCCCTATCTTTCCATCAGTCAGTTTCTTCATTGTCACAGCAAAGAGAACATTGTAGAGCTTTCACAGTGCTTACTCATTCTTCAACTGCCTCTTAGACTCTGCTTGGTAGGGAAGTTTATCTTGATTTACTACTTACCCGCCCCTTCTCCTTTTCTGGTCTCAAACAAGGAGAGGACTCCTGTTTCCTATATTAAGACAGCCCAGCAGCAGAAAATAAAATAAAGATACCAATCAGAAGTGAGAAGTCAGGAGAGGAAAGAGAATAAGGGAGGCTTCTCTCTGATATGGGAGAGAAGCAGAGGCATTGGTGATCAGAATAAAGCAATGGCGAAAACAGTCACAGTTGTTAGACACATGCAAGTGGATGTTTTTCAGAGACCTTTTCACCCCTAGCACAAAGAAATTAAGTTACTGGCGGTACCTATTTCGAAGAACAATCAGAAGAACGAAAATGAAAACCATAATAGCTACCATGCATTGATGTTTATAGATGCTAAAAATTGTGATAATGTTGGTTTTTTAAAAGGTTTTTATTTGAAAGACAGAGTGACGGAGAGAAAAGGTGGGCGAGGGAGACAAACACACACACACACAGAGAGAGAGAGAGAGAGAGAAAGAGAGAGAGAGAGAGAGATCTTCCATCTGCTGCTTCACTCCCCAAATGGCAGCAATAGCCAGGGCTGGGCCTAGTCAAATCTTGGAGCCAGGAACTCTATCCTGGCCTCCCACATGGGTGACAGGGGCCCAAGAATTTTGGCCATTATCCACTGCCTTCCCAGGCACATTGGCAGGAAGCTGGATTGGAAGGAGAGGAGCTGGGCCTTGATCCAGCCTTCTGATATGGCATGCAGGCATCCTAAGCAGTGGTTTAACTCACTTCACCACAATTCTGGCCCCAATCATGTTGGTTTTACCAAGGCTTTCTACACTATGGTGTTGTTGTTGTTGTTGTTGTTGTTTTTTGGTACCATGGGTACATATTTTTCACAGTATTGTAGAAATAATTAAAGAAGCAAGAAACTGTAATTTGTTTTTTATAAAAAAGAAAATCTCCTTTTTGGTGACTGCATCCCTCTGAAAGCTCACAAAAGCCATCTCTCTTCATTGTAAATTCCAGCCATGATTGGAACCATGATTTTGATCTGAATCCTGGTGACAATGTGCAAGGCATAAAGAGGGTGTGATTAGCTCTTGATTTCAGGGCCACAGCATTCTGAGTTGTATATTTTAGCTAATCTTAAGTATTCTGCATTTCTGAAAAACAAAAAAGCTCCATCGCTCATTTTTATCTCAGCTTGAATTCCAATCAGCAAGGACTAAGTTGTGTAAAGTATATGTCCCCTTTGCAGACAAAAGCTTTCTTAAGGCTACAATGAGAATAAAAAGTTAAATTCAATATATTAAAAATATTTACTTGTTGTAAAACTGGGGACATTCTGAATTTGAACTTGAGAAGTCTGGAAGACATCTATCCCTTCTTCTCTGAGCTGATAAATAGAAATTATTAAGTATATAGCTATCATTTTTAGAACTGTGGTTTTCAAGTAGATCAGATTTAGAACAGATATTTACACAAGAGCATTTCAGTGGACTTTGGAAATGCAATTTATTGAGAAAAGTCAGAGACTTAATATGTAAGGAAGTTGGATGAGAAGTTAAATAGAGACCTTCCATTATTCTACACTATGAATACAGACAAATACAAGAGAAGACGGCAACTACAAAGGAGCTATGAATCAGGAGAAAGTTGTTTTCCCCTTGTTGAACCAAAGAAAATTCCAATAAGCTCCCAAGATGTCTTTTCATTTGATTGCCATGCTAGTTCCTCTGGTCTAAAAATCTCAGCATCAATACTTTCCTTCTCATGTTTCTCATGCTTTACTTTTCTGCTCTATCCCACTTCAAAATGCTCAAGAAATGCAACACAAAGGAATTATCCTTCCAGTAGCACACTCCATCTCTTTCTGTCCAGCAACCACTCTTTACTATTTCTTGGTGTATTATTCATTTCTCAAGGGAAATGTAGCTTGTTATATTCCAGAAGCAAGGAGTAAAGGCAGGCGGTGGTTCCACTCAAATCAGCATTTTATGTCTGTGCTGTTCCCACAGTAAGTGACTTTGTACAGTTGTTGCCTATTAATGTGTGTCCTTTGACTGGAGAATTTCCTATGTTCTCTGTATGTGCATAGTGTCCCTCTCTCTTGTGGTAGATAATGTTTTGATTAAAAGGATTTTTATCCTTTGCTGGGAAGATGTATTCAATCTCAGTCTCAGAAGTTCCTTCTGTTGTACTTGGCTTATGCGAGTTTCTGGAGTCCTTTGGGGATATTAGGCTTAAGGACATTATCTTTCACTCTCACTGAGAATATTATTGTGGTTATACTTTTTGGAGATTTAACCACACCACATAAGTTCTCTCCCTTATCTACCACTGGACAGAATTAGCCCATTTTCAGTGTGCACAAGCAAAGGATAAAAACCAATTTAAGAAAAGTAAATCTGTGCAAGCAGAATCCCATTAAAATACACATATTTTTCTTAGAAATAAAATACGATATCATTAGGCTCTTGTAGGTCACCAATGCATATAAGGCTGTAAATGTTGAAGTGGAATGATCAGTTTTTTACCAATTGATCACAGGGATTCTTTAGTGAGCAGATTAATTAATTTAAGAGAGAAGATGACACATGCAGTACCATACTCACTGTTTCATTTTTAACGTTCCCTTGTCTAAGGTGAAATACTGGAAAATAGGTTACAAAACATGCTTCTGACAGTTTGACTCACTAAACAATGAATAACCATCTTACAAAATACCTTCAGATTACAGCTCAGAGCAGGCCGTTGGCCTAGAGGTTACAAGGCTGAGTAAGATGCCCACATCTGATACTGGAGTGCCTGGGTTCAGGACCCGCCTGTGGCTTCTGTCTCCAGCTCCCTGTTAATGGAGGACCTGGGAAGCAATGGTGTTGGCCCAAGTAACTGGGCTCCGGACACCCATGTGGAAGACCTGGATTGAGTTCCTGACTCCCGGCTTCAGGCTCAACGCAGCCCTGGTTGTCATGGGCATTTGGGGAGTGAACCAGTGGATTGTGGGGGGCCATTTCCCCCACCCTACTCTCTACTTCTCAAATATATAAACAAATACTAAAAAATTAATTTAAAACATTATGAATGAATTTTTAAAAGTATGGTATTGAGATGACAAAAATATAAGGGCAATCCTTTAAGACCAAAAAACAGAAAGGAAGAAAGCAGACAGGCAAAGAGACACCAATGTTACCATGAGCTTCTCCTTGACAGCAGGGGAAAACTGGAAAAAGCGGAGAAAACGCTTATTGCCTTCCCACACAGGTGATCTGTAGCAAACTCCCACACATGGCTGAGGCCCAGGATTGTATTCTTAGTGAAACAAGAGAACCCAAATGCATGGGAACATAAATCCCACTCAACAGAGGGCAACAAAGAAATCTGCTTACCCAAGCTTTGGAAGAGGGGGAAAATATAAATCTTCTTTGAGACTTCAAACTCACTCTAATGCAAGTTTGTAGTTTACGATCCACAAAACTTCAGGAATTAACATATACTTCATACTCATTATAGTTTGGAGAAATGATCTCTGGTCCTCTGTTGCACAGTGGGTAATGTACTGAACATTTCAAAAAAGCCTACAAGAAAGAATTTTGAATGTTTTCATCACAAAGTAATGATAAAATTTGAGCAGATGGACATATTTACTCTCTGTTGAACATTATACAATGTACACATGTATGAAAACTTCACATGGTACCACACATATGAACTTTATATATCAATTAAACTAATTGAGTAAAAAAAACTAGCACACACATTTATAAGAGAACTAAATCTTTAATTCAGGTTTTAAATAGTTCATTAATATAAACTTATAGGAAATAATAATAACAATAAAACACACAAGGAATCAATTTTCCTAAAGTGAGAGCACAGACAATAAAGATATATGCAAACATACCTAATGCTTATCACTACATAAGAATATAAAGTAAATATTCTCACTGTGTTAAAGGAATTAAGATATATCAAGAAATAAGACTTTTAAACAATTTGAAAAGAAAAATTACACAGCTATACAAGAGTTAAAGTTTTAAAAAATAAGCAAAACAAAATGTTACATGGCAGATTAGACATGAATTGAGAGAGAATTAGTGAAGTAGAAGGTAAGCTGAATAAACTTCAAAAAATCAGTACACAGAGACAAATATGAAAGTTAAGTAATGAATGTGAGGATAGAGTGGGATCTAACATACATCTTAGAGGTCCAAATGAAAATAACAGAAAAAAGAGGAAAAATGAGAGTACTACAAAAAGTTCATAAGATAGAGTTAAAAGATAAATTTTAAAGTCCATATATAGTCTGTTTCATAATATGGATTTTCCATTAACTTTTTGAAGATCCCACAAAATGCATGGATTTCAAACATTTTTGCACCATAATAAAATTTATCTTTTAATTTTGTTTTTCTTTTTTTTTTCATTTTTCAACACATTTTTGAAGTAGCCACATACTTAATGACTTAAATGATTAAAAAAATTTCCAAAATTTATGAATGATACTAATTGGCAGATCAGATAAGTACAATGAATTCCAAGTAGTGTAAATAGAAAGTAGTCAATTACTAGATATAGTGAGACTGGAAAACCAAAGACAAAGAAAATAACCTCATGAAGACAGAGCATAATGACTACATGTAAAGAAGCAAGAAATGTGTTGCTGACTTGTAAGAACAACAGAAGTTAGAAAATTCAAGAATAATCTCTTCAACATTCTGAGAAAAAGTAATTTTCAACTTAGAATTACGTTGAGACGAAATTATCTTTGAATATCTTAGTAACCTGAAGCCTTTTCCATCTAAATGAAAACTGAAACATTCACTTCAAACAGATTTTTATTAAAATGAATTCTAAGAGATGAATTTCACAAAGAAGGAAAATTATATAAAAGGAGAGATCTGAAATGAAAGAAGAAACGAGGGACAATGTGCTGCCCAAACTGTAGGTAAATCTAAGCCTCTGAGCAAATACTATCTGGAGGAGAGAAGGGAAAAACCAGAGCAAAAATACTGGCCAACAGTAGCATACAAACCACAAGATGTTGATTTCATTTAAAGTAGTTTACAGTCTTTGTTTTGTTCGAGGAAAAACTTTGTTAAGTATGCAAGTTAAAATTCCTAAGATAACCTTTTTCAAGAATTACAGAAAGTTTATAACTTTCAACTTAGTAAACAGATAAATGAAATAGGAAACAAAAGCCTCATTAAATTAGGATTAATATAAAATGGTAAGAAATGACAGAGGGGTGAATACAAAAGACAGCTAGAAAAAGCAGGACAGACTGAAGTACCAAATAACATGATAGAAATTAACAATAATATAATAATCTAATAGTTTGCTCTAAAATCTAAATGACAAGAGTTTCTAGATGAAATTTAAAATTCATTAGTAAGGAGGGGCCAGTTTTGTGGCATGATGGGTAAAGCCACCACCTACAATTCCAGCGTGTAGTATGGGCACCAGTTCAAGCCCCGCTGCTCTACTTCGGATCCAGTTTCCTGCTAATGGCCTGGGGAAAGTAGCAGAATGTGGCCCAAATGTTTGGGCCCCTGCTACCCATGTGGGTAGAAGTTCCTGGCTCCTGACTTCGCCTTGGCCCGGTCCTGGCCATTGAGGCCATCTAGCAAATGAACCAGCAGACGGAAGATCTCTGTCTGTCTCTCCCTTCCTCTCTATAACTCTGATGTTCAAATAAACAAATAAATCTTTAAAAAAATTTATAGTAAGGAAATGTCTAAAATGAATACAGAAAGGTTGAAATAGGATGAAAATATATATACCAGGAAAACATTGAAAAGAAAGGTTAAGTAACTTTTTTCATAACAGATAATAGACTTTAAGACAAACATTAATTCTTCAGATGAAAAAGGAGCATTACATGATAAAAGAATTAATATTGCCTTGATTTATTTTCTTTTTTTTTAAGATTTATTTTATTTATTTGAAAGACAGAGCTAAAGAGAGAGGAAGAGACAGAGAGAGAGGTCTTCCATCTTCTGGTTCACTCTCCAGATGGCTGCAATCGCCAGAGCTGTGCCAATCGGAAGCCAGGAGCCAGAGCTTCCTCTTGGTCTCCCACGTGGGTGCAGGGGCCCAAGGACTTGGGCCATCTTCCACCACTTTCCCAGGCCACAACAGAGAGCTGGATCAGAAGAGGAGCAGCCGGGACTTGAACTGGTGCCCATATGGGATACCAGCGCTTCAGGCCAGGGCTTTAACCCTCTGAGCCACAGCGCCAGCCCTACCTTGATTTATTTTCATTTAACTCAAACTTTGTATATACCAAATAACACAATGCAAAGAGCTATAAAACAAAATTTGAGGAAATCTCAAGGACTCATTTACAAATCTACTCTGAAAGAGAAATTTTAACATGCTAAATAATTGATAAACAAATCACATCAGTAAGAATATTGAAAAATTAAATAATACAAGTCCCATCAATATATAGCATTGCTTTCCATCAATTGAGGATTCATCAAGTATGTTGAGAACCCGTAAGACATCTACAAAATTTAGCATGGAACTTACCATAAAGAAATAGGCTTCTCTGGGAATCTGTCCCAAACAATCTAGGAACTGAGAGTTCTAATGTTACACAAACTAGCTTAGTAAACAGTAAACTTGAAAATAAATTCCCACTCACTTTATAAGCAAGTATGACTTTGTTGTCAAAACCAAACTATGACAATATGAAAAATAAAATTACAAGCAAATTTACTTCATAGAGATAATCTTAACTTCCCTAAGAGATTGAGAATAAGTTAGCTGAATTAAAGATAGCTAAAATGTCTAAATGTACTAAATATATGTACAAATTCCAAGGAATTTTCTTTTCAGTATGCAGAAATTAATACATTAAAATAAGAGAGCCTTTGAGTTTTGCATCCATAGAGATTCTCTAACCTCAGAAGTGAATATCTCAAGACCTCTAATTTCAGATAGCAGCAGTTCAATAGGTCACATAAGTAGCAATTATAAGATGTCATCTTGGACAAATCAAAATGATGTTATCATCTTGATAACAGCATATCTTTCTTTGAGTAATTCCGTAGTCAAAAATGGGATATGAAAGAACTTTAGAATGGGCCACACAAATGGGAGGCAATAATGTGCCTAGCAAGTATCCCATTCACTTTTCAATGGTGTGTAATGGAAGGTGAAAAACTCCAGGATAGAGTTGACAGAAGAGAAATGTGGGTAAAGAGGGAAGTGGATGGTCAACAGAAGGTAGTAAAGTCTTGGAAGTGGGAGAATGAAATGTGAGAGAACACAGAGAGACACATGAAAGCACACAATTGGGGGTGTTATCATCCCTTGTTAGTATCAAATAACAAATAAAGCTTTAAAATGAAAACATGAGAATAGAGATAGTACCCACCAGGTTCTGTACTCTTGTCCATGCTGAGAACATGACCTGGCATATAGCAGAAACTAAATAAAATTGATTGAGTGAACGAATGAATGAAAAGCTAATAAAATAGAAGCAAACCAAAAGGAACTATGTGGTACTGGTTGAGGATGGGAAACATCACTATGAACTCATGTTCACCTTAATATAGACACGAGTGGATAAAGAAACAATTCTATGTGTTTAAGTGTATACAGACAGGTTATTTCTTAAATCTATCTACTGAAGACCTGGAGGCAAGACACTCCTGTGGCAATAAGCGTGCTCAATGACCAGATCTGGGTTTCTAACACTACTCTCCAGAAAAAGGAACCAGGGCTCCTTGGAAAGAAATGTTTCTCAGAAGCAGCAGGGAATATGCACAATGATCCTGGTATATCTTGTGGTGCCAGAAAGTAAAGACGTGTTTAAAATAAATGGAGGAAGTATGCCATAGGGATATAAAAGTCAGCTGAAAGTGCTCCCAGTGGTCAAGGCTAGAACAGCTTTACTGAATCCCAATCATTTATGTGAATACTGCCCCCCTAAGGAGATAAGAACATAATCCCACAGAGCATAACTGTCCATATGTTAAGTGTAGACTGAAGTAGTAACTTCTTTTCAAAAAATATCTGATGGAAAGGTTTGTGGGTGAGAGTAATTTTGCAGAGGAGAAACCTAATAAATTTCAGCCAGGTGATCAGTGTTGGCATCATCAATGATAAAAATCATGTTGATAGCATGTACCCTTGTTAGAATATGGTGAGCTTGGTCTTCCTCTCCCATCCCATACCTTGGTGGAAACATCGGAAAAAAATCAGACAAACCAAAATTGCAGGAAATCCTACAAAATATCTTACCACCTCAAGGTCATTTAAACAATGAAAGTTAGAAATTTTCAATGTACATAGGAGCCTAAGGAGACATGACAACCTGGATGGGATTCTAGAACAGAAAGGGGACATCCATTAAAAACTATTAGTTACTAATACTATATCAATATTGACTCATTAGTTTCAACAAATGGACCATACTAATACAAGACGCTAACAAGAGGCAAAACTGCCTGTGCGGTATGTGGGAACTCATTGCACTATCTTTGCAATTTTTCTGAAAATCTAAAGTTACCCTAAAACAGAAAAGTTTATTTAAAAATATTACCTAACATTTATCAAGGGCACAGCA